CAAGCAGCCAAAGAAGGTTTTAGATTCACCATGACTAGAGGTATTGAAGGGTAGGAGCCCATCTGTCAGGGACAGATGAACAGTAATGAAAACAGCAGTGCCACATTATAAGAGATGGACTAAATAACCAACTCAGAGCTGGACTATGAGCACTAGAAATGTCACAGTTAATCTCGGTTTTCTTTTTTAGATGAGTTTCTAGACCTTTTCATTGTGAAGATATAAACTAATGCAACCCAGTCACTAAGCCGAAATACTAAATTGATTTTACCTTGGGTATGTTTCCATTTGAATTTTTGCTTGTGTTTTTAACACACATTAATTAACAAACATGATTATAATTTGTAGTGTACAAGAACACACACACACACACCTGTCCTGGATCCAACATCTGTAGAGTTTCTACACTAGAATTTACAATCAGGTTAGATAATGTGTGTTGAAATATGACTAAAACGTGTACACATATCCATTAGAATCACAAGTAATGACCGCTCCTACAGCTTTCCAGTAATCAACTTTGGTTTCTGTAAAAAGAAAAGGGGTGTTTGTGGCCCCTTGAGAAAAAAAAATTTTTTTGGGGGGGGGTTTTTGGGGTGGTTCTTTTCTTCGAGCAGCCATGGAACTGCAGCAGACTTTATTTATACACAGAGAATATGAAAAAATACCTCCTCCCCCCGGGGGTAGTGATGGTTGAATATTTGAGAGGATCCCACCTCAGTGTCACCCGCTCTGGCAATAACAGATCTTAAAGCTGATAAAAACTGTCCCACAGCCACTGCCTGTAACCTCTAGCCATGAGAGACAACTTTATTTAAAGGACTAAACACAGTACTGAGATCAGGGGACTCTAGCATTTCAATCCCAGCTCTGACAAAGACTCTCACTGTGGTCTTAATCAAGTCATGTAATCTCTCTGCCTTAGTTTGCCTCACTGTAAAATGGGGAGAGCAATTCTTACTTATTGTTACCTCACAGACGTGTTGTGCTGATTAATGAGAGAGGACCCGATCCAAAGCCCACTGGAGTCGATGAGAGTCTTTCCGCTGACCTCAGCAGGTTTTGGACCAGGCTCCAAATGTCTGTAAAGTGGTATATAAGTGTTAAAATTCACCAGAATGCACCCAATTCCTCTGGCAGTAGGAGCCCCCAGTCCTCTTGTTTGTTTGAACAATTTACCCTGAAGGGAAAAAACTTTATCAAATATTGGCAACTACACATGGATCCTACCACATGGACAACACTTCTGTAATAGGAAACTGGGAGATCTGAAGATGCCCTCTCAACACACAAAACACACACAAATTTTTATTTAAAATGAATCAGCTGGGTTTGGTTGTATCCCAAGGAATCATCTAACTAATCTCCCCAAATCCTCAAGCCAGCCCGAAGCATAAGGGTATGATCATAGTAGACAGCAGTTGGGCATTTTTGGAGACTGAAGAAAAACTTGCTTAGCAGACCCCCCACAAAAAAGGTAAGAAAGGCTTTTAACAAATTAGCGTTCCCATTCAAATGATTCTGTGAACTTTCACCCACACCCCTTATTTACTACATTTATTTTCTTTTTATTCAGCCAACCTCCTCTGCTGTCTGCCACCCTCCTCCCAAATTCATACTTCTGTAAATATCTTTCCTGACATATTTACACTGCTATATTCAGCCAAGATATTTTGGATCAATTTCAAATGTGCTGCAAACTGATGTATTTCTGGCTGAACTAGATTATATAGTAGCTGCTGAAATACACTTCACTAAACAGATCTGATAAAAAGTCTGCTCTGCAAGCAATCCAAAAGAGTATTTGTTACTGCCTATGTACTGTGTGTGTGTGTGTGTGTGTGTATAATATATATATTTATATATATACTTGAAGCTATCGTTCCAGTTACTCAGTCTCTTAACAATGCACCTTTACATTCACTGGGCTTGATTCCCTGGCTGATTCAAAATGGGTCACTTTATACTCAAGAAGGTGAATGTCAAATCTAAGGTGCAATTTGCATCGTCTAGCAAGGCTTGTGGTGATCTGCATTATATAAGATGTACAAATACAAAGGGAGACAGGCATACTTCTTACGGCTGCATCCAGAACAACATGGCATTATTAACTACTAGCACATGGAGTGAAATAAGCACGAACAAGACACCTGTAAATATCTTATTTGTATGCCAGAACTGGGGCCTGGACAGGATATTCAGGAACACTACTACAACCACACATGGGCTGCAGGCTACTTTGTGGGATAACAGGCAGATAACTGGAGCAGAAAAAACATTGGTCATAATGCAAGTGAGGCACCCAGGGGTGGCAGCTCACCAGGGTCCCATAAGGCAGAAGAAAATGTACCATGGGCCTGAGAATGGACATGTGCAAGCAATCCAGGAAGAAAATTAATAATGTGAAGAGCACTTTGAAAATCTCGAGTACTTGCCAGATCCCTCATAACAGGGAAGAGACAGGTGTAGGTGTAGTAAACAGAAGGAAGTTCCTTTATTGAGGCTGCTCGGCCTACGCAGACACTGCAGTTCCCTGGCTGTCTAGCTCACAGACACAGGAAGATAGGCAGTATTACCACACAGGATCTACCTAAATTCTGATCTGACGTAAACAACCATGGAATGAGTAGCTGACTATTGTACAGGCCTTCCCCCATTGAATTATAGGCTAACAATAAAACATTTTTGCTTTGTCCCAACGACACTTAACCAGGCATGTATGCAGCTATAATTATAAAAAATAAGCTGCTGGTTTGTTTTTTTTAAATGACTTAAGCATTTGATCTCTGTCTCCATGGCATTGCTGCTCATTCACTGATGAGGTTGATGGTTAACCATTTAGTGGGGCCATCTCACAGGAATCATTAGTGTTGCAGTCTCTGGAGTTGATTATGGAAAGATGGTATCTTCATCATTTTCCACCTCGTGATTGTCTGGAGATTTTATCCATTGAATTCACAGTTATAGTCCCACACATGGCAAGGGTCTAGATCCACTCAGCCCACTGTCTAATATTACATTATCTTTGACCCATTTCTGATAGGTATTTTTGGGGGCTGATGACCTACTATTCTCTCAAATCATCTGTTGTGGAGCACTGTTTCAGATTACCTTTTGGGACCTGGATGTTTCAGTCGCAACATAAACATAATTGAGATATTAACCTTTCTCATCTAGGAAACTCCCAGGGCAAGTGAATTAGAGTGCCCACTTGGTATTTGGAAGCAAAAATGAGATACAAATGAAAAGTATAAGCATAGCCCCAAGTACAGGGCAAGTTACTGGCTGAATATAGGTCATGTGCTTCAGAAAAGTATGCCTATATCTGCAAACCCCTCCCACAACCCAAAAACAGCCATATTTGCCTATTGGTGGTACAGGTTTGTGACAAGGAAAACCTTGTTCAAAACTGTTCTGCCTTGAACATAAGAGAAAAAAACTAATGAAAATTAAGAGTTAGGTGTGAGAATGTTGCCCACATGGATGGGAATCTGCAGTGAAGCTGTGGTATAAAAATACTCTGCTATAAAAGAATTGTCTGCATCAAAGTCTGTAGCAATTAATCCAAATGTCATTCTCTCACGCCTTCTTGATTGTTCCATTGTGTGTGCAGACTTTATTTGTGAGTTGCACTCTGATCTTGAAGCTGAAAAATAGTCCTGGTGCTGAAAGGCCAGTAATCCATTTACCAATAGCCCTAGCTGCTGTGTCTTAACAATGAAATGGTTTTCATTCTGCCCCAATCATATGATTTAACCATGTGAGTTAAATTACTCCAAGGGGAGTCAGATAAAGAATAAAAGCCTATTGCTTTGCCCATAGCTTTTATCCAATTAAGGAACTATTACAAAGTTTATGCTATTTCAGATAACATAGCACACAAGGTTAATGCAATCCTTTATTATTTATTTTATTTTATAAAGACTTATTGGCCTAAACAAAATGGTATTACCACAACCCAAAACCTATTACAATTTTAAAATTATCATCCTGAGGCTCTTATTATATGGTGTGGTGTACCTTTTGAAAGATAAATGGAAAGTCTGTGTTCTCTACATTCCATATCCTGAGATTACTAGGCTCATATTGGCAAGTTATTTGTGAAATTTCTAAAGGAGGTAAGCAACAGAAAGGCATCAAAGCTAGAGACAAAATATGGTCTTGTGATTGAGGCACTGAACTAGGATTCAGAAAATCTGAATTTAATCCTGGCTCTTACTTACTTTTGTCTGGAAAAATAGTGCTTCCCTATCTTACAAGGGTGCTGTAAGGCTAAATGTAGTAATGAAAAACTAGATACTTCAGTGAAGGGTGGGGAAGGGTCATCACATAAAGTACCTAGAGAAAGAGAAAACTGTAGCGGGAGGCAAAGCATATGTTGTGGTTTACTTAGCAAACCATGGGAAAATATAGAGGGCCAGGAAAAATACATTAATTGTTTGGATAGGTAATGAACTGTTATAACCAGGAAAGAAAGAGTTTAGAGGGGAAAATCTCCCCTCTCCATCAAATCTCTGAATATGTATGGTGTTGGTGGGGGATGAAAGGGGAGGGTTATTTCTAGAACTGTTGACATCTGGCATAAACTGTGTAATTCTGACCAGTAGAATCCAAATGGGGATGTATTGTGTTCTCTGTTTTTGATCTTGGGACCCACTGTGGGTAGTGATTTCCTCACCTAAAGCATTTTATTGTCTGAATTGTGAGACAAAAATAAATGGCTCCCCTGCCTCCTCCATACCACCTCCTGTCTGTGATTTTTTACTTTCACCTCATTACAGGAAAAATCATTTTATTGTCACAATTGACTGGCAGCTGAAATTCTCCAAATGAGGTAAGCAGGGCTCAGACATGTTCTCTCTTCCCTCAGCAAAAATCTCATAACATATGGTGCTACATTATGTCTCAAAGCTGTAAGTGAAGAGGAAAACAGGCTGGGCTGGATTTGTCTGTAACACTGTGCTTGCTGGATTAATCTAAAGACAGATGCAAGAAGACACTTTAATTACTTCATCCTAACTTTTTATTACAACATCAAGTAAAATGGTGAGTTACAGAAGAACAGGGACTGGAGATAATCACAAGGATGAAGTCACACACAAGCTCATTGTTATATACCTGCCAATAGGGTTTTAAATATTCTGTACATGCATCTTAGTTTTATTTATTAATTTCCAGACAGATCACCTCAGAACTACCACTTTAAACTATGAGGTAGCTACTAAGACTGGGATCCTGCCTTTTTCTTCTGGAATTTTCTGAACTGCGACTGTATCGCCACGGCAGCCCGTTCTGTCTCTGGTGCATCCATGTCTATGTCAAAGTCCTCTTGAACTTTCTTTTGTCCATCTGTCCCGAGAAAATGAAAAACAAATTAATATCAATTTGAGAATATGATAACCAACTGCACCATGAGATGGAAGCTCCCCCGCATTTCTCTCATTTTGTGGCTATGAAGCCACAAAAGCTATTTGAGAACTAAAAGGCAACTGTGACAGAGTGCTGAGCCCCAGCAGCTGAACTAACATTCTGGGGAAACTGCAATGCTCTAATTGGTGCTCTAATTATAGCAGAGCTCTCATTATAAATAAGATCTATTTATTTGGTGTCTGAACCAAAAAAGTTTTGGTGGTTTTTTTTGTTTTTGTTTTCAAGGTTATTTTAACCTTTAAAAGTATTTGTAATAAAACTGACATAAGATTTGAAATGAAAAGTCGTTAAGTTGAGAAGTCAAAATGTTTCCTTTTGAAAATGTCAAAGTTAATTTGACTTCTTTGGAATTTTTGTTTCCAAAGGTTTGGGCGTTCTGACTGAAACTGTGGCGAATTCAACATGAACATGCAAAGAGTTTCAACCTGCATTCTTGGGAGGTAAGTGGGGGGGGAAGCTTCATCCAAAAATTTTCATCCTGCTCTACTTATAAAATGTTATGGCCAAATTTAGCACCCAGTCCTACAACGAACTGCATGCCAGGACACATCTATGCCTGCGTGGAGCCTCAATGGCATTAGTGGGGCTCTGTCCAGATCCAGAGGTCCAATCATTCAGAACAACTTGCCTTGTCTTGCCTCGGATTGTAATCTATGGTATATTTAGGGCAGAGACCATTTCTAGTGTCTCTATATCTTGTAATTTTATCACAAGTTTTGCAATATTTAAGGTGTTTCTTACAGCCCTACATCCTGGACTCATGGGGCTACACCAGAAATTCAGCTTGAATTGAAAAGAATAAGGAAATAGCTAGCCCTCACAGTAGCAGAGATAATTTTTTAAAATATAAATCCTAAAGGTGCAAAAGTTACAGACCATATAAAAAGGAATGCCAAATGTTTTATTCTTGAAATCTCATGATTGTATTAAAAAGCTCATTGTTCTGGAGGCATCTAATTCATAATTTTTGAATACTTGGGGGTGGAAATACTGCATGTCTTTTCAACTGCTTACTGAAATGCCTACCACAGTTTAGACACTATGGACTCCAACTCAGTCATTCTTTCGCTGAGTAGAACCTTAATCCAAAACTATCGTATTGATTTCAGTGGAACTACTCAGAGCAAAAAGAAAAGGAGTACTTGTGGCACCTTAGAGACTAACCAATTTATTTGAGCATGAGCTTTTGTGAGCTACAGCTCACTTCATCGGATGCATACTGTGGAAACTGCAGAAGACATTATATACACACAGAGACCATGAAACAATACCTCCTCCCACCCCACTGTCCTGCTGGTAATAGCTTATCTAAAGTAATCATCAAGTTGGGCCATTTCCAGCACAAATCCAGGTTTTCTCACCCTCTGCCCCCGCCCCCACACACACAAACTCACTCTCCTGCTGGTAATAGTCCATCCAAAGTGACCACTCTCTTCACAATGTGTATGATAATCAAGGTGGGCCATTTCCTGCACAAATCCAGGTTCTCTCACTCCCTCACCCCCCTCCAAAAACCACACACACAAACTCACTCTCCTGCTGGTAATAGCTTATCCAAAGTGACCACTCTCCCTACAATGTGCATGATAATCAAGGTGGGCCATTTCCAGCACAAATCCAGGTTCTCTCACCCCCCCAACCCCCATACACACACAAACTCACTCTCCTGCTGGTAATAGCTTATCTAAAGTGATCATCAAGTTGGGCCATTTTTGTGTGTGTGGTTTTTGGAGGGGGGTGAGGGAGTGAGAGAACCTGGATTTGTGCAGGAAATGGCCCACCTTGATTATCATACACATTGTGAAGAGAGTGGTCACTTTGGATGGACTATTACCAGCAGGAGAGTGAGTTTGTGTGTGTGGGGGCGGGGGCAGAGGGTGAGAAAACCTGGATTTGTGCTGGAAATGGCCCAACTTGATGATTACTTTAGATAAGCTATTACCAGCAGGACAGTGGGGTGGGAGGAGGTATTGTTTCATGGTCTCTGTGTGTATATAATGTCTTCTGCAGTTTCCACAGTATGCATCCGATGAAGTGAGCTGTAGCTCACAAAAGCTCATGCTCAAATAAATTGGTTAGTCTCTAAGGTGCCACAAGTACTCCTTTTCTTTTTGCGAATACAGACTAACACGGCTGTTACTCTGAAACCTACTCAGAGCAAGATATTCTTCCTCATGAGTAAGGATGATGCAAATAAGGTCTTCTATAAATAATGATGATTATTAATAAACAAATATGTTGACATTATTTTGTTTTTATTTTTTAAGAAAATTATAACAGATTTATAACACAAATTCTGAAATAAATTATTTAAATTTCAAGAGCTCTTTATCTATCTTTTCTTGTTACCCCATCTGTGATGGGGCCTCTACCCCACACAGGTGAACAGGTTAATAGGAGTCAGAGCTTAGTTAGTCCACTTTGTTGCATCTGGAGATTATAACGGGCTTGATTTGTTATTAGACCCAGCTGGGGAGGACCTGGGTCGTCTTCATAAAGGAATGAAGCGGAAGCTACCGAGAAGGTCCAGGAGAGAGGCCCAAGAGTGAGAAATCCAGGAGAGAGGAGGTAGGAAATTCCCTGCCTCCGGAAAGGATCTGGGAAAGGCAGACTGGAGAAGCCCACAGGGATGGAATTAATTCTTGTGGAGATCCTGGAAATGGGGCAAGGCACTGAGAGCCAGTCCTGAGAGGTTGGTGTTCTGACAGGGAAAGAAGGAGCAGTGAGGACCTAAGGAGAAGCCTGGGAACCAGAGGAGAGGCTGTGTTAAACATAGGCTGTGGAGAGGCAGCGCCAGGGACTGGGAGGCAGGATGTGGCCTGGGAACACTGGCAGAGGAGTAGAGGGTGCAAGTGCACAGGGGCCCAGGCAATTTAGAGAGCCCCTGCAGGCTTGAAATTTTGTATCATTATTAAGGCTGTAGGCTTGTCATGGTGTGGAAAAAAGTCATAGTGTTTGTCCATTTACTCATGACTTTTTGTGTGTGTGTGTCCATGACTCACTCTGCAGCAGCCGTTCCTTTTGTCCTGTGGCGATAGAGTTGGTGCCCTACTCTATGTATTGTAACCTGGCATGCAGGGTCACAGCACCACTCAGGTTTGGCCCACCCAACTCTCTATTATGAGGGGGGCAGGTGAGCCAAACTTCAGTGAGTGCCATTTTGACTTGGAGAACTGGCTCGCAGCGTTGCTCAAGTTTGGCCCCTCCATCATCATGATGGCCTGTTTAGGATCATACAGTAATTTTGGTTGCATAGTGCAATCAAAAGGTTAATTAAATTAAGGCTTCTTGGTGGAAAACTTAATCCCATTAGTATTACTTTGCACTTCTATAACCATTCCATCCAAGAAACTCAAAGCTCTTTGCAAACATTCATTCATTGACCCTACGGGATACAGAAACATAATCTCCATGTTATACATAAGGAAACTGAGGCAGAAATTTGCACAGACTCACACAATGTGTCAGTAGGAGAACCAGGAACAGAGCCCAGCTCTCATAACCTCTAAAGATATGCCTGCACCGTGATTAAAAAACACACGGTGTTGAGTCTCAGAGCCCAGGTCAGCTGGCTTAGGCTTGGGCTGTGAGACTATAAAGTTGCAGTGTAGACATTTGGGCTTGGGCTGGAGCCCAAGCTCTGAGATCTTCCCTCCTCACATGGCCTCTAAGCCCAGGCTCCAGCCCAAGCCCGAACATCTACACTGCTAGACCCCAAGCCTGAGCTTGAGTCAACTGAACTGGGCCACCCACAGTCAGGCCACAGGTTTTTTTCGTGATGTAGACATACCCTAAGACGTACTTGCTCCCCATTACAGAAATATGAGTTTCGATGCCAAGGCCCAGATCCACAAAGCTTAGGCACTGACTTTTAGTTTTCCCCAGGGATGCTCCACCCCAAGGCCCCACCCTCACTCTGCCTCTTCCTGCCCCAGACCCTCCTGTGAGGCCCCTGCCCACCTGCCGCCCTCTGCCCTCCCCAGTCCTTCCTGAGCCTCCGAACAGCTGTGGCTAGTGGGTGCTGAACACCACTATTTTTTTTTCCATGAGAGCTCAAGCTCCGGAGTGCTCAGGGACTCGGCGCCTATGCACAAAGGGACTTAGGTGTTGCAATGCTCACCCTAACCTTTAGGCTGCTAGCCACTTAGTAGAATCCACAAAGCCTGGGTTACGTGCCTAGGCTCCCTATTCAATGCATGTGCAGAGATAAGCATCTGAAAACGGGATCCACAAAAGCCTGCCTGAGTTAGCCAAGAGTAGGGGCTGACAAGGAGCATGTTTCCGAAGTCTTGCCCATCTCAGGGAGTTAGGCACCTGTATCTGGGCTGAGTTAAGTACCTATGTCCGCTGGGGAACCACCTGCAGTCAGGTACCTAATCTGTTACTTACAAGAACAGTGGTGGCACATAGTGTGGAGAAGGGAGGGCTCCACCTTATAAATTTAGTCCAGTGATTAGGGGACTCAGATGTGAGAAACCCTGATCCAACTCCCCATGCTGCCTGATGAGAGAGGATTTGAACAGGGGTTTCCCACCTCTTGTGTGAGTGCCCTGATCACTGAGCCATGGGATGGTCTGACATGGGTCTCTGTCTTGTCCTGTTGAAGCTGTCCCACTATGTATAAATATGCACTGGGCCAGAGAGCGGAAGCAGTGAGCATGCCCAGAGGGAGAAATTTAAGCCCCTAGGGTTCTTTAACAAAGGCTAGATCTACACTTCAAATGCTACAGCTGCAGCACTTCAGGGTAGGTCTTGTCTTCACGACCAGCTCTACAGCGGCACAGCTGCACCGGTGCAACTGCTCTGCTGGAGCACTTTAGTGAAGACACTTCTGCACCGATGGGAGAGCGTCTAACTGCACCGATGGCAATCTGCCTCTCCCAGAGAAGCTCTCCTGTCAGCACAGTGTGTCTACGGGC